GACTCGTTTCTCTCACCTGCATTCAGTGGAAGTTTGATGAATGAAAATGGCGATTGATTATACGGCTATTCACAACGACAAAAAAGTGGTCATTAAAGTCAGTAAAATCGACTGTAGCCAAAAAGTGTGCTTGAGCTGGGAGTAAAACTGCAGGGCAGTATAGCTAAATGTAGAACTAAATTGCAACAGATTTATCCGCTCCAAAAGCCAAACCTTTGGAGACCATGTGAGCTTTAAAAAATACAGTAAGCTTTACGAATATGGAATGAAGTGAGAAGAGATTTGTTTAGGTCTTGAAAGCGCTCATAAAGGACATTTCTGAAGTCTTGTTAAATCATAAGTGGAATTACTTGTGCTTTGAGTGCTGTTGTAGAAGTTTTATTCCTGAGGTGTGATGAAATATGCTTGTTTTCAGGATGAAATTGCTAAACTCTGTCGAATGGTGGATTAACATCACCAAGTCCACTAATCCTCGAGATAAAACCACTTGGAATCCAAGACTGTGAAAACCCAGGCTGGAATGCACCAGGCTGTCCAGTGCGATCATGCGTTTTTGCATTAAATTCGCAGATTGCTATTAGTAAGAATGATCCGTACGCTGTAGCCTAACGCTTGGGTCATATTAGCCGTGCTTCGATTCTTTCCGGCATGCAGGAGGAAGGGCGCCAGTTGGGCTGAAGGTGGTGCATTATAGAGCTGTACAGGCATCCAGGTGCATGATTACCGGTTTTTTACATGAAGTCCGGTCGTTTTTTCGGTAAATGCTCGCTTTCAAAAAAATGACAAATGTTAATTTTTCAAAAAAATGCAAATTCCCAGTTCACTAAAAAGTGAAAGTATTGCTCGAACAGTCGTTTGTCAAAAAATCCGCATTCATTTACATATGCGATTGGGGTTAAAGTCCGAGCTGCGAACGATTTTTTGAAAATACGCAAATTTTCAGTTTATTAAAAATTAAAAGTATTGCTCGGTCGTTTTTCAAAAAATCCATGTTCATTCGCATATACAGTTGCGGTCCAGGTCCGAGTTGCTAACGATTTTTGGGTTCAGGAGCTGCTTGAGGCTGTGGTTTGAAAGCTAGAGAGCTGAGTTTAAAATTTTTATCTCGCACATGCACGGTGAATATCCCTGCAAAGTTTCAGCTTTCTATGCTGCCTGGTTCGGGAAATCGTTTTGACACATTTCTTTAGGAGTCCCGTATGCGGGGTTTAGGCGCGTATGAGGAAAGATCTTAAAACGAGAGGATGATACACGGGGAAGGAACGTATATCCAAAGTTTCAGCCTCCTAGCTCTCCTGGTTGCTGAGATGAAAGTGGGTGACAAAATGCATTCGCTTTCCGAACATACACACACACACAGCCTCTCGACAATATGCGTTTTTGCTGGCTGTAACAGCGCTATAGCGCTGCACAGCAAAAACGCATAGAAAAAGCCCCAAGCAAATGGTCACATCAAATCTATTATATTTTTATACAAAGTTTCCTTTCAAGGCTCAAACTTTCAGAAATAACGAACGATTTTCTTGGAGTGATGCGGTTGGTCCACCTCAATGATAAAATTTTCACCAGCTAGCGTAATGCCATCGAGACGGACTGAGCAGTGCAGCAGATCTTCCCACTGAAAATGACCATTACGAGTAACCTGACTTCTGACTTCTCGTCGGAGCGAATTTTTCACGGTTTGTTAATTAAAATAAGAGAAAATAATTTGCATTTTCGTTCTCTACGCAAAACATTGTTAGCCCCTACCCTAGCTGTCTCGCCTTTTGCTGCGAAATTTTTGAAGCGTTGTTGAGGTGTAGTTATGCCAGTTATTTTTTTCTCAAGTTGTTTGTCTTTAGAATGCACCATGCCATCTCCTCGATAGTCATTTGTACTTCTCTTTTGTGACCATCACTCGCCGTACACCTCGTTATCAGCAGGTAGATTGTTCTCCTCGTCCGCTGAATTTTCTTGCTACCTTGCGACGTAGAAGGGTAATAGGATATTAAAACATCTAGGTAAAGATTACTTATTTAAAAACACGATGAAAAGTACTGATTTTTTCTTTAGCAAGAAATAAATTTTTGCTTTTTCGCGGAAGCAAAAATCGGATAAGGTCAGAGACAGACCAGAAGGACTTTCCGAAATTAAAAGCGATTTGAGGTCTTGACATTAAAGCTTTTCACCTTATTGAACAGTCTGTAGAAAGTTGTATTGACGGCTGCAAGCCGCGCGCGACTTCCCACATCGAGATATCGAAAAATGCGCCAGATAATGTCTCCAGACAGTAGATCCAGCATACTCCACTCGAAATGCCTCTTAGATTTTAAAAAATTTTAAATCCAGCGGAAATTTAACGTCATATGAATGCCCTGCACTTAGTGTTATTGAGATACAGCAGCAGCCCAGTAAGTGGTTTAGCCGGATTTATTTGATCTAGGACGCCTAGTCTCCAATTTTAGGTCACCATGCTACCACACTCGGAGTTTATTCCCCAACCCGCTCGAAAAAAAGAGACTAAATAATTCCCTTTCCTAAATCAAGCTCATATTCAAGCGAATTCGTTAGCATTAGACAGTTCAAGAACATGCTTCACAAGAAGATGTGACAAACCACATGTGCCGTTTCGGATCAAATACAATGCGTTAATCGTGAAAACACAAGCTTATATTTTGCACGAATAGCGAAAGCACTTGTACTTTGATTATTCTGATTACTTCGGTAATATAAATAATTTTGATTGCACAAAATTTGATTATGCCAACTTTATTTATGCGAAATTACTCAAATTCATGAATTTATCTTGATTACACAAGTTTTTCAGCAGTGGTAGACAAGGAAACACACGCATTTGTGGCGTTTTCAGGGTTCTCAGCATAAGAAAAAGCCGCCTAAGAAATGTTCAGTGTCGCTATTTTATGTGTTATTTTTTATTGTTAGAAGCATGACACAACAGTATGGATTTGAAGTATAATCAGGCAGCAGTTATTCAGGCAATACATTTGTTTGCACAGCGACAGGCATCCCAATACTTGAGCAGCACTGATTTTTGGCTTCTTGCATTTGCAGCCAATTCATCAATATTAACGCTTTTCTTCCACGGAAATTTGCCGCATCTTCGGATCCTAGTGACCATATTCACCAGAAACCCAGTGCTAACAATGTGGCGTTTTCAGTGCTGCTGAATCTAGCTGCATATTTAACAGTTCCTGTTTAGCATTGCTTCACGTCTATGTTTCTTCCTATACAGTCCCATTTATGAAGCCGATGTTTAGGTGAAGCTGAGGGCAAATAAGTTCGATTGCATGAGTACTGCTGATCAGAGCACGATGTCCATCAGCTGTCAGCAGGGCAAATGAAGTGTCTTGCTTCATGGATTTCACTTTTCTGTCATGGTCACAACAACATTCTTCACATAATTTTTTGAACGGAAAGGTGCTTCCTGCTTGATTCTTGGAAAGTTATTTCCAGGATCCTTCGTTCTATCATCCTTCCGTCACTATTAATTGTTCTTCTTCGTTTTCACAAATGATTGTATTTTGTATCAGCGGTTGGCTTTGTCGCTTTTAGGCGTATTGCTTCCGAAGCGATAGCCTTTTTCCATTTCAGGAAATTTGCGATGCAAACCGTAATCCTTCGATGTGCAATCTCCGGATGAAAAGTGTAGCATAGATACTAGATTCTTGGTTCAAGGTGTTGATTCCTTTCTGCTCCAAGCCACCGGACAAACAGTAAGCGGCTTGTCGACATATTGACTTTTC